CTATTGGTGGTACCAGTTGCATGTGATTTTCCCACCTGATGTTGTCCATTTGTGAAAGATCCACGTGGGTCCAGTATTCATACACATAGCAGCTTTAGGATCATACCACACCAATATGAAATGAACGTGAATCAAATGAAATCTCGCAAATAGTACCCTCCATCTCAGCAGAAGTAGAAAATTAGGGGTTCTTGTAATGTCCCTTACAATTCTTGTTGTCTTTTGTTATTCTGGACAGATGAGTTTCAACATTATCTCAGTCGGATCAGATAGTCAAACTTTCACGCCTATAAGCTATTTATAAAGAAATTTCACTGCTTCTTGGAGAGTTCTCACTAAGACTCTAGTTGGTGTCATACTTTAAAAGAATCAGAAACCAAAGACAAGCAAAGTACAAGAGAAATGGTTTCCCTTGGAGTTTTTTTTTTTGCCATAGCGGGTTAATTCTTTGTCTACTGATATGTTTACTTCAGACATAGAAAATGTATTAATCACACGTTCGGCAGGTTTTAGTATGTGACATACAGCAAAGTTTCAGGCATGTAGGAGGTTCATCCTGTATTCAGGCCAACTCCTCAGATTAAATGAGAATGCTGTGAGTGAAATAAATGTTGGGAGAAGTACTCTGACTGGCACAATTGTCTCAATGAAATTATGACCTTCATCACAAGGATACATAAGACATAAAAAACTACACAAAAGAGGAACAAGCCAAATGTGAAATGAAGGGTAGGCCTTAGTGCCAATCCTTGATGATTTCTTGTATACTAACCTAAAGGTGGCACTTGTGGATAAACTGAGGGAATGCATTACATTCCCCCCCCCCCCAAAGTCTCTGCTTTAACATATTTCCCTACTAGGGTTCCCAACTGCCAGGTGGCATCTGGAAATCTCCTGCTATTACAATGGATCTCCAGATGACCAAGATGAGTTCACCTGGAGAAAATGGCTGCTTTGGAGGGTGGACTCCATGACATTATACACCACTGAAACTCCTCCCATACCCAAACCCTGACCTTACCAAACTCCACTTCCAAATCTCCAGGTATTTCCCAACCTGGAACTGGCAACCCTAATGCCTACCAAGTTAAGTGCAGCCTGGTTTGTTTGTTTTTTAAACAATATATTGCATTTTACAAATGATAAACACACACCACAAAACACAAGAACATGGACACAAAAAGAAAACAAACATATACATAAACTACCGCTGTTTTCTACTTACAGCAACCCCACTTGCTTCTTGAAAATAAAATCATATCATTTCCCAACTAGTGACATAATCCTACAACACCTTTTGAGATTTAACTACCCACTTATTTTCAAATAATTTTTATCCTTTCACAATAGACATTATAGTTTTTAGGTAAAGTTCTCACTATTCACACACTAACTAACCTAACTAGACATATTTATCCTTTTTCATTACTTTTCATTGTCACAATCCATAGGTTTCCTGCATCTTTATTTTCCAATTCATTTGTCAATATTCCCTTATAGCCAAGATTCTATACTCACTTTTCCTAAAATAAATTACATCTACCAGAATAAACGTTTTCAACCCCTTCTTAAATTTTCGTTATATTTCCCTAACAACTATATCATTTTTAATATAATATGTATAAATGAAAACTTATAAACTTACAAAAGCCCAAAAAACAACTTTTTAAATTCATTACATTACACCCTTCATATCACTTGATTCATTCCCTAGAAAACTATACCTTGTTTTTCCAAGTTTTCACTACATATAGGCGCCTAGTACCATATCTTACTCGTTGTTTTTTCATCTTCCATACATTAGAACTGATGAGTACCTAATTAAATTGATGGCAGTAAATTCAAAACAGATGAAATTCAAAACAGATTCTGTTTTTAGTGTTTTAATCATGGCTTCGTGCCCTAATTGTTTAATCTTGGCTTTGTGCCCTAATTGTTAGCCGCCCTGAGCCTGTTCTGGGGAGGGCGGGATATAAATCGAACAATAAACAAACAAACAAACAAACAAGCACTACTTTAATTCAGGGTGCCATTGGCTTATGGAATTTGCTGCTACCAGATGTGGTGATAGCCATTTGTTGAGCTGTCTCTAAAAGTGGATTAGACAAGTTTTTGACTTTTTTTCCAGTGCCCTACTGTTCTGGATATCATCCGGACACTGGAGTTTCTTAGGGTAATTAATTCATAATGCAGGGGTTTGGTTGATCTGCTATTGCTGTTTATTATTTTACTGTTTTTACTGCTTGTTGGTTTTCTGTTGTGAGCCACCCTGAGCCCATTTTTTGGGCAGGGCGGGGTATAAATTTAATAAATAAATAAAAGACCGGTCATCCATTTAGTAAAATAAATAAACAAATGACTAAATCAAACTGTCATGTTCAGAGGCAATGACCCTTTGAATGTCAGTGCCTTGGGCAACAACAGATGGAGACCTTGGTTTCCATGCCGTTTGTAGGAAAATTGGAAAGATCCTGTCATGGATCTCCAGTGTGGTGTGTACTCTGGCCCTTAATTTTCATGGCAGTGAAAAATATCCACACTCACATCAAGTAGGATATGAGGTTTTATGGAGCAATTAGTATCTGATATAGAAAGCTGGCAGTACCCTGTCTGCTTCAAAAACACACACACCATAGATATTTATTTATACACATATACTACACACACACATGTACACACAGAAGAAAGTCTTATTGGGTTCAATGGGACTTACTCCCTACTAGCATTGCCAACTTGGCTTGGGAAATTTGGAGGCTGTGTTTGAGGAGGGTGGAGTTTGGGAAGGGAACTCCGTGGGGAATGGTGCCATAGAGTTTGCCTTGATATCAGTAGACTGGAGATCAGTTGTAATTTCAAGAGAACTTCAAGCCATACCTTGAAATCGGTAAACCTTCTCAGCAAGCACCATCTAGGATGTGCAACATCAATGAGAGGCCACTAGGAATACTTCCAGGTGGATAATCCTGTCAGTCTGTGGCAGCTATCTAAAGGAGTCCACTAGTATTTTAAGGCTAAAATTTGTTATGATGGAATGAATGTTTAGTCTTTTAAGGGCTCCTGCGTTCCCCTAGCTAGAAGGGGGCTTAATGTAGTTTATAAACATGCGTGTGTGTGTATACATGCAAACACATATACATGTGTGTATGTGTATATATGCACACACACATCTATATACAAACACTTTTATGGCTGTTGTACTTACAGGCCCGTAGCCAGGATTTCTTAATTCAGGGGGCCTTTAAATAAGTCAGGGGGCACTGATAAAATAAAAATAAAATAAAATAAACACACACTCGCAGGCAGGAGCAGGGTTATTTCCCCTATTGTGGAGGGTGGGTGTAAGTGGAAGTCAGTCACTGACTCCGAGTAACCTGAGGAGGAGGAGGATCCCCTTCTCCTCTCATCCCCCCCCCCTGCAACCACATTGGCTGTGTGGAGTGCAGGGAACTACAGTGAAAGTGGCGGGCTCCTGTTCGGTTCTTTATTTCTTTCTTCCTGGCTGACTTCATGTTTCCACTGTGACTTTGCCTCGGTCACACCCCCACCCACCGCCCTGCAGGGGGGGCTTTCTGCTGCAACACTTCTCAGACTTGGAAGTGGCAACTTTACTTTTTCCCCACCATAGAGAACAATGGAGGGGACAGGGGCAACCTGTTTGGAGGCCCGTAGAATTGGACCCCTGGTCCAATGTTCTTGAAATTGGTGGGTATTTTGGGGAGAGGCTCCAGCAGCTACCCTGAACGTTTGGAGCCTCTCCCTCAAACCACCTCCCCTCCAGCCCCCTAGAAAATACCCTATGTTTTCCCATTGACTTCAATGGTCCATAGAATATAATGGGGCCGAAATTGACATTTGGCTTGCGGAAAGACTCCCCAATCGGCTCCTACTGCCGAAATTGACATGCAGGAGTCTTTCTGCCCCTGAAATTGATTCTGCCTGATTCTGCCAGCCCAGGATGGAGCCTGTGGGGCTGCTGACAAGTGGGGAAGTTGTGGGGCCTTGGTAGGAAGTGGGC